CCGTGTCAAAGCGGGGTGGGTAGGGCCCACATTTTGTTTTCATTTTTATTATTTTGTTGGTAAAATGAATCCGGCTCTAAGAGGTATTTTAACTGCCGGTTGCACGGAGGTGATTCACGTCTAATGCTTAGTACCACACTGCCGTAAGGCGCTCCGGCCACCTGGGGTGGGCGAACCTGCCAGTCGTCGTGGTTATGCTGTACCGCACGCAGGCGTGCGTGTTGCCTACCTGCAATGCCCGTTTGGCGCTACGGCCCCCTGGGCCTGGGGTAGGAAACGTGGGGTAAAGTATAACTGCAGGAGCCACATTTTCCCAAATTTCAGCATATCGATGAGGTCGGAGAGAAATAGGTCGGACAGCACTTTTTCGGATTTTGGAAAAATCGCCAGGTCGGAGAAAAATAGGTCGGACAATCTAGCTGCAAGCCGGCTTCGGCTCGCCGCCCAGGGCACACGTAGGGCCGCGACCCGCGACCTACTGAGCGTGGAAGGTTCACGGCCCCGTGCCGGAGCGGAGCCTGCGCCGCGAGGGAGGTCGGCGTCGGCGATGGCGATGGCCTCGCGGGCCGAGCCCCCGCCAGGCAGGCACGCCCGCCGCGCAGCCCGACGGGGCGCGTGGCCTACCCAGCCGCCACCAGGCGCTCGCGACCCGACGCATCACCCGGATAAACAGGACTAGCGAAACAAAAACATGCCAGCAAAATAGTAGATATGATAGTTTTTATTTGACTTGAGTTTAACATTGAAAAAATAGTAGTCAAATGTAAAAGAAGAATGCATTTATTTACTAGAAGACCTAAACTTACACAATACTGGAATCGGGGTCTCTTTGGCGCAGTGGGCAAGTCAGTCCAGCGTTTGGGCTTGAGGCTTTGGCGGCCGTAGCCCTACAACACAGAGGCGTTGCAGCCTTTGCAGACCACGTCAACGCGCGGTAGAAAGCCCCGGATGGCCTGTCTCTGCAGCAGACAGCCGGCGACGTCCTTGCATCGATTGCTGGTTAGTCGCTCCAGCACGAGCCGCTGCAGGTGCTCCAAGCCACAGGCAGCCAGGTCTCGGCCCAGGTCGGGGAAGTAGTAGGCATCGTAATCCTTGCCAGTTACGGTGCAGAATACCTCGAGCTCCTTCAGAGACGCGGCGTGGGCGCGGACCAGGGACAGCATGGTGGGCTTGTGCTCGGTACTGACGGCCGTGCCTAGCCACAGCAGCCCTCCACTCTGCGCGGGGGGGAAGGCCACATTCTCACCACCGTAATCCGTCACTCTCAAGCTGCGTAGGTTCGGCATGCGCAGCACACAGCGCAGCTGCTGTTCGCTCGGCCATCCAATGACGAGCTCCTCAAGCTGCAGCGGCAGGTCCGGGTAGTCGCCGACGGCGTCGTCGTCGCAAGCGACTCGCAGTCTTTTGAGCGAGCCCATTTTCGCCACCTCTTCGAAGACTATCGGCGGTTGAACCTCACCCATGGCGAACTCTAGCTCTTCGAGTTGCGAAGACAAAAGGGGCAGCAGCTTTCGCAAGCCTTGCCCTCTTAACTTTTTTAAGCAGCGTATGTTTCTCCAACGCGGCACATCTCGGAGGATCTCGTTTACTTTCAGACGGCCATTCGCAAGATGGTCGTCATTCACGGAGAAGATGGTGGTCATTGGCGGCCCCACGTAGGCTGCGGGTCTGATAGGGGCGAGGTAATCGTCAACCTGGAGGGGCAGAGAAGTTGACATAAGCAACTCGGCAGACGCGATTCCTGACGGCCCTTGGTTAAGAGCAGTCTTTACCTTCTCCGCCTGCAGCTGCAGTAACACAGCGCGCACGATGTCGCCGACCCCACCCAGCTGCACGGGCGTCCTCGAGCAGGCGGCCCCGTCTCTGCCCGCGACGACGCTGCACTCGGTGGTCAGCACGCGCAGGCTGTCCTCCAGCCGCGCCGCCACCTGCAGCTGCTCCTGCGAGACGTCCTGCTGCTGCAGCGCCTCCTCCATCTGGCGCAGCTGCTCGGCCGACGCGTCCAGCTGGCGCTGCAGGGCCTCCACCGCCAGGGGGAGCACCTGCCGCAGCTGCTGCACCACCTGCCGCCCCGCGTCCGCGCCGCGCTGCAGCTGCTGCATTCCTGTATCTGCCGTCTTGCACCTCTTGCAGGGCGGTGCGCCGTCGCTCTCTATCATTTGGATCAAATAGATGTTGTCTACGAGGTCGTCTGGGTCGGGCGCTAAGTCCTGCAGCACAACATCAAGCACACCCTTGTGGCACCAAACCTTCCAGGAATATACCCAGCACAGCAGCATGTTGTTTAGGTTCCCTGAACCAGGGCATACACTGTTAAGTATGAGAATGCTACGAAAATGTTATGAACACAATTTACTAAGCACTGAAAATTTGGTATGCATGCATTGCAAATTCTCGAATGTATTGCTGCTTTTT